CYSGSCYKGRMCCCTCCTCAGAGCATCCATCACTACTGGGCCCAGGGGATGCTCAGGACGTTCAGGTAAGGCTCCTATGTTCCAAAGGGCAAAGCTACTATACACACAAGACCCACAACAAGACCCAGGGAGGCATGGCTCCACCAAGCCAGAACTGGGGACTGGGGAGGAGGCTTTGGACCAGCAAGGACCAGGATGAGGACCGTGAGGAGCTGGGGAAGCAAGCAAAGGCTGCAGGGAGGATGCTGGCCAGGAGCTGCAGACCAGTGCCCCAGGTCCTGGGCAGGGTGGTACCCAGGCTCACTTCTGGGGAAGAGAGGCCCTGCACTGAGCAGGGAGGAGGCCTGCAAGTGGACGCAGCAGGGGCTCAGCAGGCAGGCTCAGCCACTCCTCGCTCCCCAGAGWGGCAGGTAGCTGTACCCAGAACCCGAGCTGATGCCAGGGCTCTCCGTGGGAGGATCCAGAGGAGCAGTGTGCTGACRCTCAGACCATGAGCAGCAGAAGCACGTCAGCTCTGCAGCCCAACTCACCTCCTTCCCCGAGCACGGCCTCCCCACCTGCCACTTCTCACTTCTAAGGTTAGTGGGACCAGGTGGGCTACACGGAGAATCTCCTCCAAGCTGCTCACGTGGTGGTCAGCCACACTACCTCCCACTGAACCCTGAGAATACAGTGGTTCTGCTCCCAGGGTCCACGTGACAAACCAGCACTGTTTCAGTAGCAGTGTCCAACCGGCAAGGTGGCCTCCACCCAGCCTCCTTCCATGATGATGCAAGTTCTTGACGGACCACAGAGAGCAACAAACTCTGGCAGACCACAGAAGCCCCTGGGCACATGGCCGCCACTCCCTGTGGCTGCACAGCTGCCCCAGAAGGGCCTCACTGAAGACAAATGAGGAGCACACAGTGAACAGGCCTCTGTGGGCCTGGGTGACTCTGTTCTAGAGTCCCAGGAGCCATTTCTTCCCCTGAGCTTAGGAAGCATCAGCCACATCACCTCCGCCAGGAGTGCTGTCCACCCGAGGCCCCTGTAGATGGCCTTTCCTCCTGCCCATGCTCACCTTCAGCCACAAGGCCACTGAGSGACAGGCACTCACCCACCCAGGCTCCTGCTCGTCCACCAGCCTCTGGACCTGGACAGCAAGAGATGGCCTCTGYGGACTGGAGCCCAGGCCCACCCAGGGCATCTGAGTAAGGGGGAAGGCTGAGGGCAATCAGGGGCAGTCAGCCCCAGGGTTTAGCAGGTCATTTTAGCACACTGTGTGCAGTCTGTGGTCCCCAGGGAACTATCACCTGCAGGGGATAAGGAGACAACAGYGGGAGCAGAGGCACCCCAGAGAGCCTGACAGACAGGAACCGGGCACCCCCATGTCTGGGACCAGGGATCCCTGGCCGATCACCTGGTCCCCACCCAGGTGGATCCTGTGTTCTCCACTCCATCTCATGCCTGGCCTGTATGTCCATGGCCCTCTGCAGGCTCCTGAAGTCTTCAGACCACACAGGGGGACACATCTGCACCACCACCCCCCCCACACACACACACACACGAGTACAGGCAAGCCTTCATCTCAGTTCTTACCTCCACTCGATGGGTCCTGACCTCTCTGCAAGGCCCCCTCCCGTCCTCCTCCCAGTCATGGGGTGGACTCTACACAAGCACCCAGCCTGCATAGTTCCAGCCTGTGCCCAGGTTTCTSTCCTGCATACCCTCTCTCCAGCACCTACATACTACAGCCCAGGACAGGAACCGCCACACTCCTGCTTCCTGGGCACCTGCTCTTTCCCCCAGGAGAAGGGTGCTGGCCAAGCGCTGATCACCTCTGTGCCTCAAGCCCAAGGCCTCCCCTAGGGAAGCTTCAGAGGTTGACAGGGCCCTGCCAGTTGCTCAGAGCATGTAGGCAAGGGTCCATGGGTGTAGGCCTCCCCAGGGCCCCTGTGTGCAGTGGCGCAGGCAGGATGCTACGGACCCAGGGACAGCAGGCGCACGAAGCAGGCACTGGCCTTGGCCACGCTGCTCTCCGGATTAGGATTCTCATCATTCAGCACAGGATTCAGCTGCACTTGGAAAACTTACCAAAGCCTGCTAGAACTTTTGTCTTCTACAGAATTTCTGACATAATTAACAAGAACCCCAGACACACAGCTCTTTCCCKCATAAACCCATTTCTGAGGCTGAACTCAGGTGAGCTCAGGCTAAGCCAACAGSTCCAGCCTCACATACTTACTCGATATCCTCAAAGATGCTGGGTGGCACCTTCAGGAGGTGGGCGACATCCCCCATCAGCTGCTTCCCCTTCTCCAGGTTCAGGGGGCTGTGGAGGGAGAGGGGGCCTCGTTAGCAAGGGAGATGGGAAGCCAGGGACCCCAGGGAGCTGCCTCGGCTGGCTATTCCCGGATGTGCCCATCATGAGGAGCCACTGAGACAGACAATGAGGTGCAGATGGAATTGCCAGGAAGCGTAACGGGTCCATGATGCCACCTCTGGCTCATCTCAGCCTTCAATAAAAACTTGATAGAGAGGCAGGCAGGGGAGGCACAGGAGTGAGGAGATGCGAAAACCAGACAGTGGGATGGGCGTGAAGTGCTCAAAGCAAGCAGCTGTTTACATTGATCCACTGTCGAGGTGGATGACAATCCCAGTGAAGGGTATTTAAACACCACCTGGGTAGACACAAAGGGGGGACAAGAGGGACGTGCCACAAGCTGCACCCCATTACAGGGCAGGGACGGCCCAGGATGCTGCGGCTGCACACGGCCCAGCAAGGCCACAGGGAGAGCTGCCTGATGAAAAGGTGGCAGGTAACAGGTACCTGCAACTCTATGCTCCCGTTACAAATCCTGACGCCAGGAYTCAGGGTCCCCCTCCCCACTGCCTGGGCCCCTGTGCTTGCTGCTGTGARGGAGTATCAATGCAGACTGCCACAGCAGCAAGGTTTCTGCTCGCTCACTCCCCCCCACTCAGTGTCCGGGAGGAACCCAGCTCTCAACTTCAGGGCTCCCCGCGGGAGACGCAGGAGGCAAAGACATTAACAAAGGAAGAAGCTGCTTGTGGTTGTGGGCTGCATCCTTCTGTGAAGTCCTAGGCCAGATACTGGGCCTCATCAGGAAACAGGTGGCTGCAGATTTAATCAGTGAAGAGGACGCTGAGCACGGGCCCTAGTCCAACACTGGTGCCTTGTAGAAAGTGGGAAATGGACACAGGGCAGTGCAGCAGCAAAGCCCACGTGAGGACACACAGGTAAAACCATGCAAGAGCCACCACCAGGGCAAGTCCCAGGGCCAGAGCACAGCCTGGGACATCGTGTCCCTGCACCCCCGGTACCCTGGACTTCCAGGTTCAGAGCTGTGCGTGTGTCTCGAGCAAACCCACACGTGTGTCAACAGTCCTGTGGGCGGAGCATGGAGGGGTGGGCAGAGCGCCACTGAGAAGGGCTCAGAGAAGCACCCTTCAAGGAGGCCATGTCTGCCAGCCATCAGGCAGCTGGAACAGCAGGTACAGAGCTGGGTGTCACTGGGACTTCTCCAAAACTCGGGAGGGTCCCAGGTGCAGGGGCCAAACAGGCCATCACAGCCACCCGGGGGTGACAACTGGCGAACACTGGGTGTGGGGGAGACGCTGAGGCACCCTGGCAAGACTGGCTGGTCAGAGAGGCCATGGGAGACAGAGGAGTGTGGAAGTCCCCCCAGCGGACYCCCGAGCAGAGTCCAGGTAGCGCAGCCCAGAGGCACATCAGGAGTTGGTCGAGACAGAGTGTGGGAGCCGCAGGTGACAGAGTCAGGTCCTTCCAACTCTTAGGGCCAGAGGGTGAGAGGTCACCCCTAACAGAGAGAGAAGAGAGCAGCCAGCAAGGCGGAAGTGAGCCCAGCCTGGACCCCAAGGGCGTGAAGTCAGCTTTTCATCACTGGCAAAAAGACCTGACGAGAACAATTTTAGAAGAGGAAACATTTGTTTTGGCTCACAGTCTCAGAAGTCTCAGTTCACAGATGGCCACCTCCAGGCTAGGGGACAGAGAGGTGAGGCGGGACATCATGGCAGGGGAGGACAGCAGCTCAGAACATGACAGCCAGGAAGCAGAGACCCACCTCCTCCACTCACACCCCACCTGCCTGCAGTCCCCACCCAGTTAACCCACTGATTCAGTCATTTCTGCTCGGAACATTCTGGTATTGTCTCACACATGAGTTTTGRGGGGACACCTCAGATCTGAACCATAACATCTTGCCCCTGACTCCCAAAAGCTCAAGCCCATCTCAATGCAAACACATTTAGTCCATTTCTGAGTCCCACAGTCTTAACAGTCCCARCATGGCCCAAAGGTCCACGTCCAAAGTCTCCTGAGACTCTAGGCAAACTCCTATCTGAGAGGCAAGATCAAAAGCAAGTTACATAGATCCAACACATAAAGGCACAGAGTAAACCCGCCATTCCACAAGGGAGAAACCCGGACACAGAAAGAAGGGGTGGGACCAAGCCAGACAGAAATCCGCTGGGCAAATGAGTCCTGCGACTCCGTGTCCAGCATAYGGACCACAAGGACCTGATGTTCTCTCCACACTTGTGTAGCTCCACCCTGCGCCTCMTCATCGCGGCACATGCTTCCCGTAGTTTGTCTGTGCTCACTCAATGCAGACATCCCACAGTATGGCACCTCTTCATCTTGGGCRTCTCCCTGCAACTTCAGCTCCTTCTCACATCTGCACACATCACCCTTGGGGCGGGGGTGGGGGTGCCTGTGGGGACTCAGACCCTGAGGCACTGGCCTGTCCTTCCAGGTCATCCTTTGAAATACTGGTGAAGCCTCTGCAGTCCCCTACCTCCAGCGTCCTGCATTCCTGCAGATCCATCACCACGTGGAGGAGCCAAACCCCGCCACACCAGCTCAACAGTAGCCAAACCTTCAAGGACCCAGCTGCAGCAGCTTCTGGGGGTCCAGGTGGCTGAGCACAAAAAAACGACTTCCTAGACCCCCACTGCACAGGCAAGGATCCCTCATTGTCTCTTCTCAAAGGAATTTTAATTTTACACCCTTGACCTGAAGTGGGTTGGTCTTGCCAACTCCTGACCTGCGCTCCACCATCTTCCCTGTGGTTTCCGGGTGAAGTGCTTAGCATTCCTACAGTGGATATGGTAGGTTTAGTAGCCACGATGAATAAAACTGGAGTTTTATTCTCATATGGCCAAATTACAAGTTTCTCAAATCTTTCTACTTACCACTCTTTTTTAAAAAACGTATTATAATTTTTTATTCTAATTTGTTATATATGTCAGCAGAATGCATTACAATTCATATTACACATACGGAGCACAATTGTTCATGTTTCAGTGTACACAAAGTAAAGTCACACCTTGCGGGTCTTCGTACATGTGATTAGGGCCATGATGTCCAGCTCATTCCACCATCTTTCCTACCCCCATTCCCCTCCCTTCCCCTCCATGGCCTTCGCCCTACCTAAAGTCCCTCCTTTCCTCCCATGCTCCTCCCTCCATTCTCATTATGTATCAGCATCCTCATATCAGAGAGAACAGGCAGCATTTGGTTTTGGGGATTACTTTATTTCACTTACCATAATATTCTCCAATATTTACATGCAAATGCCATGATTTTATTCTCTTTTAATGCTGAGTAAGTAATATTCCATATGTATATATATACCGCAATTTCTTTATCCACTCATCTACTGAAGGGCATCTAGGTTGGTTCCACAATTTTGCTATTGTGAATTGTGCTGCTATAAACACCGATGTGGCTGTGTTAACCATAGTATGTTGTTTTTAAACCATAGTATGCTCAGTTTATACTCAAGGYATAAACTGAGGAATGGGATGGCTGAGTCAAATGGTGGTTCCATTCCAAGTTTTCCAAGGAATCTCTATATTGCTTTGCATATTGKCTGCACCAATTTACAGTCCCACCATCAATGTGTCACACATCCTCGTCAACACTTATTGTTATTTGTATTCATAATAGCTGCCATTCTGACTGGAGTGAGATGAAATCTTAGAGTATCTGTTTTGATTTGCATTTCTCCAATTGCTAGAGATGCCGATCATTTTTTCATATATTTGTTGATTGATTGTATATCCTCTTCTGAGAAGTGTCGGTTCAGTTCCTTGGCCCATTTATTGATTGGGTTATTTGTTTTTGTTTTTGCTGTTAAGATTTTTGAGTTCTTTATATATCCTATATATTAGTGCTCTATCTGATGTGCATGTGGTAAAAACTTGCTCCCATTCTGCAGGCTCTCTTTTCACCTAAGTGATTGTTTCATTTTCTTTTTAGTTTGAATCCATCCCATTTACTGATTCTTGATTTTATTTTTTGTGCTATAGGAGTCTTCTTAAGGAAGTGGGGGCCTAATCTAACATGATAGAGATCTGGGCCTACTTTTCCTTCTATTAGGCACAGGGTCTCTGGTTTAATTCCTAGGTCCTTGGTCCACTCTGAATTGAGTTTTGTGCATGGTGAGAGATGGGGGTTTAACTTCATTTTGTTGCATATGTATTTCCAATTCTCCCAGCACCATTTGTTAAAGAGGCTATCTATTCTCCAATATATGTTTTTGGTGCCTTTGTCTAATATGAGATAACTATAATTAKGTGGGCTTGTCTCTATGTCCTCTATTCTGTACCATTGGTCTACAGGTCTATTTTGGAGCCAATACCATGCTATTTTTGTTATTAGTGCTCTATAGTACACTTCAAGGTCTGGTATACTGATGCTACCTGTTTTACTCTTCTTACTAAGGATTACTTTGGCTATTCTGGGTCTCTTATTTTTTCCAGATGAATTTCATGATTGCTTTTTCTATTTCTATGAGGAATGTCATTGGGATTTTGATCGGGATTGTATTAAATCTGTATAGTGTCTTTGGTAGTATGGTCATTCTGACAATATTAATTCTGCCTATCCAAGAACTCAGGAGATCTTTCTATCTTCTAAGGTCTTCTTTCTTTAGAGTTCTGCAGTTTTCATTGTAGAGAAATTTAACATCTTCTGTTAAGTTTATTTCCAAATATTTTATTTTTATTTTTTTTTTGAGGCTATTGTAAATGGGAGAGTTTTCTTAGTTTCTCTTTCAGAGGATTTGTTACTGATCTACAGAAATGCCTTAGATTTATGTGTGTTTATTTCATATCCTGCTACTTTGCTGAATTCATTTATTAGTTCTAGAAGTTGTCGGGTGGAGTTTTTTGGATCTTCTAGGTACAGCAAACAGTAATAGTTTGAGTTCTTCTTTTCCCATCCATATCCATTTAATTTCTTTCATCTGTCTAATTGCTCTGGCCAGGATTTCAAAAACTATGTTAAAT